CCTTCAGATTTCCTGGACTTTATATAAATGGAGTCAATGTGTTTGGCTCCTTTCACTCAACATTACACTTAGGACATTCATCCATATTGTTAGGCACAGCCATAGTTTGTTCATTCTCATTGCTGTGTAACTTCCACTGTGAATACTTTAACTGGCCGGGAATACTGTTGATGGGCAATGGCTTCCTTTCCCTCTTTGGCTGTTATGAGGTGCTGCCGTAAATGTTCCTCTTCCATGTCCCTTAGTGGACACATGCATGGATTTCTGTTCGGTGCAGACCTAGGACTGGGATGGCCGAGCGATAGATGTGTCTGTTCAGCTCCCATTGATGGCAGCAGTTCCCAGCTTGTATTGTTTAGTAGGTGAAGTCCGCTCAGTTCTTCAAGCAGAGCAGGAGCCTGCAGTACAGGGCCCTGGGTAGCGCTATGTACTGTGGAATCAGGGGTGCTTGTCCGCCCTCAGACTCCTGTCTCTGCAGTAATGGCCCAGAAAGGCTGTGGGGAAGAAGGGAAGCTCCATGTGGGGACGGGGAGGAGGAAGCCCCAGGGAGCAGAGAGAAGCAGGGGTATTTCCTCTACAGGGCAAGGTAGGGGTTTTTAGAACCTGGACCCCCCCCAACCTGGTTCTTATGTTGGCCACAGTCTCCACCACATTCGGGAAGCCCTGGAGGCTGGCGCTCTTCTTTGGCCCTGCTGCTCCATCGTCCCGACACTCAAGTGGGAGGCATGGGCTCTGCAGTCGCGTCCCAGAACTGGACCCCTGAGAATGGCCTGCAGGGTGTGTCCCTGAGTGACGCGGCAGTTGGAGTCTCACTGCCGTCAGCATTCACGGCTTTCAGTCGTGCCTGGCCAGTAAGGGGCACAGTGGCTGAGAATCATCTCAGGACATTTGTTTTCTGGGGAAGGAATTTAATTTTAATTCATTTGAGTTTGTATTTAAAAGTCAAAGCAGTATAAAAAAAATTGAAACTGTTAAAATGTTTTTGTTAAACACATTTCAACTCTGTCATTGAAAATTTAGTGTTCCAATTAAGATGTGCTGTTAAGTGTAAAGTACAGGTTGGATTCTCAAGGTCTAGCTCCAAAAGAGAGAGAAAACTATCTCATTAATAATTTTTATATTAATTATATGTTGAAACGGGAAAGTTTGGATATAGTAGGTTAAATAAAATATATTAAAATTAACACTTTGTTTTCATTATTTTTTAATGTGGCTACTGGAAAATTTTTAATGTCATATATGACTTACATATTTCTATTGGGCAGGACTGGTCTTTATTCAATAACCATTGGAGATACTTGCATAGGAGATTGATATGATTAAAATTTTAATTTAGGATAATGCATCTAGGACTGGTATGTGATGTACTGATTTTTTAAGGAATTGGAGGAGAGAAAACCCCTTTGAAAGTGATCAGGGTCTGGGAACTGGGATTAGATCCTTTGGGGTCAATTGGAGTGATGAATAATTGAAACCCATTTTAAACAGGAAAATCAACATTTCTCTTTTTGTTTTCTTTACCCCAAGGGTGTATTTTCTAAGGTGTTTTCAGACTCAAAATGAATTTTACCTACATTTAAGCTAATAAAGGAAGATTAAAAAGTGTATGCTAAAACAAAAGATGTTCTTTATGAGAAATACTACAAATACAAGCAGGGAGTGGAAGTAACTTTGGCAGACGTCAGAACAGTCACTAGCTTTTTGTGTGTTTTAAAATGCCATTTACATTGTTCCGCGATAGAGGCAGTTTTCCCTGTCTTTATCTTGAAGTGGTTAAAGCCCCGTAGTATTCCCTGACTTGAGGATTTTGGTTTGTTTTCCCGCTTGGTTATCACACTAGCAGGCATCCTCCCACAGAGTTAACATGACACTAGGATTAAGATTTACCTCTGCAGGTATCCATATTTGGATCTAAGGGATTTCAGACCATAAATCCATTCATTGTCTTTACCCTACACAGCCCTACATTAAACTATTAGGTAGAAATTTCATAACATTCTTCCCTAACTTACTCCATTTTGAAATTTATCTACCACATTTCCTCCTCTTTTGTTTTCAATAGTAATGGAAGAACTTCTCACAGGAATCAAATGACACAGTCTACCCATTTTAGGACATTAACCTTGCTTGCCTACTCTAACATATTTTCTCTAGATCTATCACCAGAGCTGTGACTCTTAAGTGAGTGGAACTCGAAATCTAGTGGTACCTACTCCCAAAATGCACCCAAAACCCCAATCAACCAACCAACCCCCCCAAACACATCATCAAGCAGCAGTATTGAGCAAGTATTATCTGTTGCCCATGGTGAGGATTGCCTAACTTGGACCTGTCTATACTGAACTCCATACTGAGCTGGATTTTGAGCATCAGGAAATTAGATCCCACTTCTTTAAGAAGACTTCATCTTAACATATGTAGCACACTTTTAGATTTTTGAGATTTCGGTTGAATTCCACTTGTCAACTTTCAAATATATATTGCTAAAAGTAGTCTTTCTCTCTATCATAAATTCCTACCTAGCATTTTCAAGGTAATTCACTCAGACTGAGTTTCCACAGAGAAAACGAACAGGTTTCAGATCTCCCTTTGACTCTCCCTCCTTTTTACCAAGAATAAAATATCCTTCATGTTATGGTGGTTTTATACAAACTACTTGGGGACAGTCATAATCCTGGGCTTTCACAAATATTTCATTTACTCTTTCCATAAATACTGGGCAAACAATTACTGTGGCAAACACTGTGTTCTGAGTTACCGGTGGACCCTGCTCTGAGTAAATGAAAGGGGCAGGGCAGGCCTGCTTTTAATTTCACTGGTGCCATTCGCTCTTGGAAAACATTAAAGAATACATATTCTAAGGCTAGGGAGAGGGAGAAAGAAAAGAAAAAGCGATCTAGAACCAAATGACATTTGTGAGACAAATAATAAAGCCAAAGATAAAAAAAGAAAAAGCGAGAGGAAAGAGGACATTGTGGTTATCTTATTGGTAGCTACGAGGTTGTGGCCGTTGAGTACTTACACATGGCCAGTGCAACTAAGGAAGTGAATGGCTAATTTTAATGCTTTTAAAATTGAAGCAATTTAAAATATTTTCCCACTAAACACAACTTTATTTTTTTTGATAGAACAATCTATTACTTTAACTGTGGGAAACTTAGAGTCTAAAATGAAGGTGTGTTGTAAATGTAAAATATGCACTGAATTCTGAAGACTTGGCAGAATTCAAATGAATTAGAAAAACTCATTTGGCAGAAAAAAATGAATTAACTTTTATGTTGATTATGTGCTGAAAGGATATTATATAGTATTAGAAATTAAAATTAATTTCTCTGGTTTCTTTTAAAAATTTTAATGTGGCTACTGGAAAGTGTAATATTACATAAGTGGCTCCAATTATATTTCTATTTAACAGCAATGAGATACCGGGTGTTCTTTGTCCTCTGGCTGCTAATTCAGTTGCTGTAGTAACTAAAGGGGCCCCTAGGCTCAGTGTTTCCTGGAAGACAGGATGGGGGGGTGGTGCGGGGAGGGAGGTGCCCTTAGGAAAGATTTCCATAGATATCACAGTTCTCAGCTTTAGAAAATATCCTCCTTTAAGGGAAGGAGACAACAGAATCTGGCTCATTTCAGGTCCAGTAATTTCAGTTTGAATTCTAGGGGCTCAATCAAAAGCCCAAAGTAATATACACTTCCTTTGGTTTACCTAGAAAAATTGTGTCCATCTTCTGTGCTTCCCTCAACCCACACCCTCTGCTCCCATAGTTATGGGGTTGCGGGGCTACAAACTATGGGCATTAGGAGTTTGACCAATGATATTTTCCCTCCGTCAAATCTCTGATTTTATCTCTAATTTACCCTACTCTTTTAACTACAACTAGTTTGCTTTGCTTTGCTTTGTTTACCCTCACACAGAAGCCTCTTCTATCTCCTTTTGTTATCCTTCATTTGTCTCCCTCCACATTTTTCGTATCTGTTTTTTCTACTGACCTGCTCAATTTTCTTAATTAGCTTAGTGTGTGATATTTATCTCACGCTTTCAAAGAATTCAAAATCTGTGATGAATAGGATATTGATAATTCTCTCCAGTTGTGTAAGAATCATTTGAGCCTCGTTCCCCTCCCCACCCCACCCCACCTTGAGCCCTTCCCCACTTTTTGTAGTGGAAGAAGGGAGATGCAATAAATCCTTAAGGGCCAAGACTCTTGTCCTATATACCAATGAATCCCCAGCTCCTTGGAGAGTAGCTGATACATACTATGTGTTCAGCAAATACCTGTTGAACTGAATGTGATAATTGTCCCATCTCTAGACGCTCTACACCTGAGACTAGAGGGAAAACTTGCAGAAAGGGTAGAATTCAGAATGGGTGTTTGGTGTATGTTTTGGTGGGTTAAAGAGTTTGGATCCCATTGCATAGGCAGTTGATTCTCTCCTTCCTGCAGCTTAAGGCAGTTGGTCTGGTTTCTGGTTATTCACATTTCCTTCCTACCTGGAGCAATTATGCCAATCAGAGGACAAGGAGAGTGACAAATTGTCCCAGTTCTCCCCTCCGTTTTCTTCTCCCTTACTGTCCTTTCCTCCCCTTCAAGACTGTAGACCTAGTTGACAATCAAAAAGCAGCTGATAAATTCATAGGATCATGAACTCCTTCAAATAACCTTAACTCTCAGATAGTAGCACCCACTTGGCCTTAATAGATAGCATTTATTCTCGTCTCTGACAGATTGATTTAATTCTGAGCAGATGTTGGAGCAAAAAATAAAGTGAATTTGCCCTCCCTCCAGGCTTTTCTAGAAGCATTTTTGTCTGTGAAACTAAGAGGCTGTAGAAAAGGGAAGGACTAGCTTTAAAACCCGAGCGAGATTGGTAGAAGGATGTGGTTTTAAAAGGAGGGCAGGGCTGGGGGGCGGGGGGAGTTGTTGCCTAGTGTGGGGATTTACAGGGATATTACAAAATTCTGAGAGGCGAAGGGATTATTTGGGGGCGGTTCTAGGGTAGAGCTAGAGGCTAGGCTCCCATCCTGGCTCCACCCTTTGCAGGGATTTATAAATAGGTGCCCGATGTGCTCTTAGACATTGGGAGTGAGAGTCGGGGTTAGATGTAGAGCATTATTGAGGACCTGAAGAGAGAAGGACATTTTGAAGGTTTTGTTGGCTGAAGAGGTGTCTTTGGAATCCCACTTCTAGATCTTTCTTGAAGATTTGAAAATAATTAAACTAGGGCCATGGGGACACAGAAGGTAAGAACGATACAATTACCAGTTATATTTGCGTGTTTGGGATACATTCTGAAAGGCAAACCGTAATAATGATTGCTGTGTTCTATTTTATTCTAAGTCACTAAGCCATCTTCAGGCCTTTCCATTTCTCCTCCAGCCTGCAGTGCTATGGTTTTACTAATTCTCTTTGCGTGTCATATTTTCGAAAGGATTTATTCCAGGCCCATCACCTTCTTGTCTTAGGGAAAGTCACCCGGAGAAGTTGTGTTTGGTTCTCAGGTTTATTTTGCGTAATTACACTCTACTGGCGATGAACCGGTTCACCAGGGGACCAGGGGCCACTGTACAAGTGTGGGTCCTGGCGCACTATGAGGATTTCTCTGGAAGCATTAGATTTGGAAAAGACCAGATATTTATTTGGGGTCCTGGTGTCCAGCCATCTGTTTGTTCTATGACCTATGAGATTCCTTGGATACTAAGAGAGAATTCCAGTTGTCCTTCCTATTGTGGTTATGATTGTGCATTCACGATATAATAATATATTACCGTGCATTATGTATGTTTGCAGCATTTGTAAGGGAAAGGCATTTTCATTAAGGTAAACTTATTTGAAAATAAAGGAAGGTAAAAGGAGGGATGAAAAAAATGGGAAGGAAGAAGAAAAAGGCTATCAAGGGTAGTATGATGAAGGGGAAAAGAGTTTTTTACAAAAGGGAAAAGGGTTAAATAGAAAGAGCTAGGTACTGGCAGGGGGCCTCAGGGATCCTCACACGTAGTTGCCTGGGAAGCAAGGTCAGTTTTGGGAACTAAAATCCTCAACCTGTGACTCATCCGACTAGAGAGAGGAAGAGTTTAATGAATGTGTGAATGATGTGAAGGATGGCCTGGAGCATAAATATTGAGCTTTATTTGACATGGAAATCTAAGATAACACTGACTTGAAATATGCCTGGCAAGCCAAAAGATAACTGGGTTGATTTCTGTGTCCCCTTCCCCCAAGAAATATCTCCTACGCATCGGGAGTGAATTGTGCTCTCCCCCTGCTGGGTGATGGATAGCAGTACAATATTAAGTAAACTGGAAAAATTTCAAATGGGGCCAGGACACAGTGGGTAGATTCTTTAGACTGGATGATAGAGAGAGGGGTAAAAGAGCAGCTCATTGGTGAAGACCCACCACTGCCGCTATCGCTCTGGGGTACTCGTCAGACTGCACGGGATCTACCTGTTTCCAAGATAATCGCTTAGGATTTCTAAATCTGTCTTTTCTTCCTGTGTCCTCCCTACCAAGTTCTTAAATTCCTCAGTACAATTCTGTTTGCTTTTACCTGGGGCAATATTTTTGAATTCCAGGCTGACTAACTCAGTGCCCCTTAAACTTTTTCCTTCCCAATTTTTCTAGCCCCTTTTCCCAGGTTTACTCTATACGCTTGTCTAAGTATTTCCAAGTAAGGCCTTCATTGATAACCTGTTCTTTTGCGTTCTCCATTCATTGCGTAAATCTCATTAAATTTTTGTTCTTTCATACTACTTGTAGGCCATTATCTTAATCTATCTCCTTAATTAATAAGAGACGATTATCAAGAGTTAAGGACTGTTTCTCTCCCTCCCCCTTCTACTCCCAGGTCACCGCACCTCTGATCTTTGCCATCACCGTTGCTACAATAGGCTCTTTCCAGTTCGGCTACAACACTGGAGTCATCAATGCTCCTGAAACAGTGAGTACCAGGCAACTCAAGTTAAAGTTTGGAATAGGGGAATTACTCCTTTAAGTAGGGTTTCAAGGATTAAGAATGTCAGGCAAACTTCGTGTCTAGCTTGATTGAGATTGAAGAGGGAGAATAACGTTGGTGGGGAGTCTACTTGAATCATGAAAACAAAACTTCATTGCTCCCTATATCCTGCATCGTACCCATTCTTCCTCTCAGCCTATGGTAATATACTCCCTTTATTTTTCCTTTATGGTTGGTTACAAGGGAAGGAAAAGGCTCTTAGGAGAGCACTGGAGTATTCACTGAAACCAGTGCTACTACCTGCTGGGATTTTCAGAACAAATGAGAAATTGGACTTTTCAGAGCAACAGTAACTCCAGAGTTACCTCTCTTCCATCCCCATCTAGTCACTCCCTTGGTTCTCTATCGAGAGAGCAGTAATTGTAACGTTCTCCTAGGGAACTGCAATGTTCACCCCCAATGTTTGTCTCTTTTCTCATCCAGCTGTAACAGTCTTCCTTCCCACCGACCATTTTAATTTGCAGATCATAAAGGACTTTATCAATTACACTTTGGAAGAGTACTCAGAAAACCTTCCCAGTGAGGTGTTACTTACATCTCTCTGGTCCTTGTCTGTGGCCATCTTCTCCGTTGGTGGTATGATTGGATCCTTTTCCGTTGGACTCTTTGTCAACCGCTTTGGCAGGTATGGACCAGAAACTGCGCAAGGAAGGGGGGCTATCCTGGTTTGCACCGAAGGACAGGTATTGAGAATTAGGATGGGATAGTGATGATGCATTTGAATGAGAGCACTTCAATTTCTGATCAAGGGAAATCTAGTCCAACTGGCACTGACTATGACTACCCTTGCCTGGGGCTCTCCTCTCCTGAGTAGCTTCCACCCGGCCTCTAAGAGATGGGCCATGTGAATGGCTGGCCTTTTCAGTCCAGGTTAAGTTAATTGAGTTTTCTAGTGAAGTTCATGATGGAGTTTTCCAGAAACATACTTTATTTACAAGGTCAGTTGTTTACTTTTCTTAAAAATTTTGGGGTATTATGGAAACGTTTTCATTACTTTATACAGCAAGATAGGGAGGGGAAATTTTGTAATTAACCTTAGTCTTTGGCAAATGTGAATAATGGCCAAATAACTAAACTGAAATGTTTTTCCCTGAAAAAGGAAAATTGAATCTTTTTACTTTATGCTGGCTTAATACAATAAATGTCTTAGAGGGGAGAATACTTTCAATAATTACTGGTGACAGAACTATTTAGTTTGCGAATTAGATGTTCCTGAAAATGTAAATGGAACTCACATTTTCTTTTAAAAAAATGAAAGCACTTTTCTTTTCAGAGGCTGTGAGGCTAGGGGGATGACAAAAGATCTCATTATTCTACCAGCCCTTCCACCCTCCCCTGAAGTTTCTCAGTAAAATGGTTTGATTCTCCACCCCTCAAAAATGAAAGGAACTTATTTTATCTGAGTGTTTGGTGGGTTTTTTGTTTGTTTGTTTATGAAGGCATTAAAATTTTGTCTACAAAAGTTATTAAAATTAACATGGGTTTCCAAGAACTAACAGGGTTTCTTTCTGTTATTTTATTAGTAAAAGAACCAATAGAGGAGGGAGGGAACAGGGAAAGGAATGCAGAGAAAGGCAAAACTGAGACTGAGGGATGAGATTTTTCTCTAAGAGGTCTCTACTGTGACTTTACCTTTAGTATCTCCTGGGGAGCTTTTAAAAGTTCCAATGCCAGCCCTGGCTGATGTGGCTCAGTGGGTTGAGCGCTGGCCTGAGAACTGAAGGGGTCATAGGTTTAATTCCGGGTCAGGGCACATGCCTGGGTTGCACATGCCAGGTCCCCAGTTGGGGGCTTGCAAGAGGCAGCAATCGATGTTTCTCATACATCGGTGTTTGTCTTCCTCTCTTTCTTTCTCCCTTCCCCTCTCTCTAAAAAATAAATAAAATAAAATTCCCAGTGCCAGGCCTGAACGTGTGCATCAGTATTTTTCAAAGCTTCCCATGTAATTTTAATGGGCCCACCTAGGTTGAGAATCACTGTTGAGGTATCATGGTGCTGGTTCTTCCCAACAGCTTTAGTAAGCTTTTAGTGTTAATCTTTTACTTCTATCAGCTGTTTTGGTGGCTCTGTCTGCCATGTCTTTAGTGTATAAATGCAGTAATTTATTATTTGACCCTGGTTATCAATACTAATTTTTCATGACATCATCACACCAGCCTGGAGGAGAGTTAAAGCTGACTGTTTTTGCATAAAATTGTTTTGTGATGTGGAAAAATTTGTCTGAAATAATCTATCATTATTAGTATGTTGCTGATGTATCTAAGCAACTACATTATGACTAAATGTAGATGGAAGCATCGGCTAAAAAATATCTCTTGAGCATGTTCACGGACCAGCTATACATATCAGAATTGCCTAGAGCAGTAGTTCTCTACATCAGTTCTTTGCATATAGAAATATAAGAACCATAGATCCTGGTTATCCCAACTAGAAATGTTCTCAGAATGGAAAGTGGAAAAATTAAACCAAAAGAAAAGATATATGAGCTTGAGGAACAGTATAATAAGGAAAGAAGGGGAAAGATAAGGATTGTTTTATTAACATTACTTGTTTTTGTTTAAACTTGCAGGCGCAATTCAATGCTTATTGTCAATCTATTGGCAATCATTGGTGGCTGCCTCATGGGATTCTGCAAAATAGCAGAGTCAGTTGCAATGCTGATCCTGGGCCGGCTGGTTATTGGCCTCTTCTGCGGACTCTGCACAGGTTTTGTGCCCATGTACATTGGAGAGATATCGCCCACGGCTCTGCGGGGGGCCTTCGGCACTCTTAACCAGCTGGGCATCGTCATCGGGATTCTGGTGGCCCAGGTACTCTAGGACTTAATGAGTGTTGTTTCAGACTCATTAAAAGAGTTAACACAAAGTACTCAAAAGAATGTCTGGTACATATTCAACTATATATAAGTTTCAGTTATTATTATAGCTCACCAACAGCTGAACAGGCAGGCAGAGTAGAAAAGGAAAAGAAACATTTATCTTTTCCTGTGGTAAAAGAATGGATGATTTTCTGAACTTTTTTGTTTGTTTTAATCAACTTGTGGCCCGTAAAGTATGGGATTTATAGTATTATTTTTGTCTGGTTTCTAGATCTTTGGTCTGAAAGTCATCTTGGGGACTGAAGATCTTTGGCCTGTGCTGTTGGGCTTCACCATCCTCCCAGCTCTCCTGCAAAGTGCAGCCCTTCCATTCTGCCCAGAAAGTCCTAGGTTCTTGCTCATCAACAAAAAGGAAGAGGATAGTGCTAGGAAGAGTGAGTATCCTGCACAGCTTCACTGTAGGAATTATATGATTGTGATTTGTTGTAAGACGAGGATGTTGGATCTGTTTTTGGTCATCTCCTTTCCCTGACCCTCAGAACCCAAGTGAAGAGTTTTCTGATTATTATTAAGTTAGGAACTTTCAACCCCTAAAGAAGGGGATGAGAAGCCCTGGCTGGTGTGGCTCAGTTGTTTGCAATGTCGTCCCGTGTGCCAAAAGGTGGCATGTTCGATCCCCAGTTGGGGCATGTACAAGAGACAACAGATTGATGTTTTTCTCTCACGTTAATGTTTCTCTCTCTCAAATCAATAAACATATCCTTGTGGGAGGATTAAAAAAAAAAAAAAGAATGGGGTGAGAGGTAGGCATTGGTTTGATTTGCCATGTCCAAAGCTCATTTTCGATGGCTTCTCCCCAGCTGTCTATGGGAAAAGCGGAATTGGAGCAGCACCTTATCTTCATCCTTCCCTCTTTGTTTTCTTCACCAGTCCTCCAGCAATTGTGGGGCACCCAGGATGTGACTCAGGACATTCAGGAGATGAAAGATGAGAGTGCTAGGATGGCACAAGAAAAGCAAGTCACTGTGCTGGAACTCTTCAGAGTACGGAGCTACCAACAACCCATCTTGATTTCCATCATGCTCCAGCTCTCTCAGCAGCTCTCTGGAATCAACGCTGTGAGTGCTGGCTTTCATGTCCAAGGCACCCTACAATATCTCACTTAAACACCTCACCAGAGGTGAACAGCTCACCTTCTTGCACAGAGAGTCCCTTACAATGCTTGCCGTGTAGCAGCCACTCAGAAAATGTTGGATATCCAAGTTTTGATTTGGTTTTGGTTTTATTTCTTAAAATTATACTTATAGTATGTGTTTTCCATGTGGAAAAATGAGGAAATGAATAAGAAGGAAAAATTTGTCTCCCTTAGTCTTGGAATGGACAGTCCTTTTCTAGACTTTTTTCAATATATAGGGCAACACAAATTTTTGGACCACTTATTTTTTATTTCCCGCCCTCTTTCTCTCTTAAATGATGTTATCAGTGATATTGCAGGCCATACAGAGTAGACACCTGAGAATTTTTATGCCGTTGCCTTTCTCTAGGACTTTACATTCTAAAATCTATGTAAAACGCTGGAGAACAATTAGGAAATCAAGAAGTCTGGGATCACACTGGCAATTTCAGACTGAGGTGGCCTTACCTGTCTGTATATTTTTTTACAACTAGAATAGAGACTGCAATAGTTGAGAGTTGGTGGGGACAAAATGAGAAGCTAGTAATTGACAGCTAGTCTTTATATTCTATACGCTAATGTCAGCTTTCTGCTTTTGAGTCTTGGTTGTGGAAAGAGAGGATATTACTATACCTCCTATCCATTTGCAGATAAAATATTTGGATATGAGAAACACCCTTGTCCCACCTCTTTAACTACTGGCTTCATGCCCTGACGGTTTCTCATCAGTCTTTGATTGATATTAAATCATTTAAATAAAAAATATGATTAAAGGATTTTTCGAAACAAGTTGATGCTCAAAATAGTAAGTTGGTCCTATTTCTCAGCTGCCATGAACAATTGCTATTTCAAAGTTGCATCTTCTTTTGTTTATTCCTAGGTGTTCTATTACTCAACAGGAATCTTCAAAGATGCGGGTGTTGAGGAGCCAATCTATGCCACCATTGGAGCCGGTGTGGTTAATACCATCTTCACCGTAGTGTCTGTAAGTTGGATGGGTTGATCATCTTTGGGGGACAGGGCTTAGCGGGGAGAGGAATTCTTGCTACACATGTTCAAAGATGAGTTGTGTGTGCTTCCACTTCCCTACCAGTATTTAAACCTTTTGTTGTTATTGAATTTGTCTTTGAGGGGAAAAGAGATATTGAATGGTAGGTATAAGTAGTCTTCACTTTTTTCAAACATATATAGAGTGGATGGGAAAGAGGGAGGTTATAGAAGGGGTCATTATAAAAGATATATTAAACTTTGAACTGGAAAAGGGGAAGTATAACTGTAACAAGTACCCTGCTATTGTTAAGACAGATTCAGGTGGCTTATACACTTTTCATGAAAAAGAAAGCAGAAATACCATGTTTTATTCTTCTTTTAGCTGTTTCTGGTGGAAAGGGCAGGAAGAAGAACTCTACATATGATTGGCCTTGGAGGGATGGCTTTTTGTTCCATCCTCATGACTATTTCCTTGTTATTAAAGGTGAGTGGTCTTTGAAGAAAAGGTAGGGGAGGGGAAAAGGAGAGGTTACAGCTGAGTCTGTGACGGGTGAATAGTTGAGGCTGGAGATTGATAAAGTCAAATTTGGGAGAAGCAGCAAGCCCAGAGTTTTAAGAAAAGTAGATCAGACAGATAGGTAATTAAATTGCTATAATCCTTACCTCTAAAATATATAGCATGTAGCTTGTAAAATACAGTATGTGATTTAATTCTTAAAATAATCTCGAGGCAGTTATTTCTTTTACAATTGATGAAACGATCTCAGGAAAAATGATGTATGTATGATCACATAACTAAGATTCAAAAATCCAAAATGTTTTACTCCATTCTACCACAGGACAGAAAGAGGTTTTCAGTATCGGTCAGTACTCGGGGAAGCTGGATCCTGCCTAGGTCATGCTTTAACATTAATTTTTCTCTATTCCTTCCTCATATAGGATGAGTACAGCTGGATGAGCTTTATCTGCATTGGGGCTATCTTGGTCTTCGTGGCCTTCTTTGAAATTGGCCCAGGCCCCATTCCCTGGTTTATCGTGGCTGAACTCTTCAGCCAGGGACCCCGCCCCGCTGCAATGGCAGTGGCTGGTTGTTCCAACTGGACCTCCAACTTTTTGGTTGGACTCCTCTTCCCTTCAGCTGCTGTAAGTAAATTAAAGTAAAACTCACCTAGTCCATGTTGAAGTCAGTTTGCTTAAGCCATGTTTACAATATGATTCCTGACACCATGAAGGATTATAGTTCAAGAGCTTTAAACCAGTCTTTTGTCCTTCTCACTTCTAATGATGTAGAAAAGGAAGGAATGACAGCAGAAAAGATTGAAGCAGGGGTGTAAAACTGGGAAGTTTTAAAGGGCCAGTTTTGATATACACATAGTTATAGATGTAGACATAGACAGAGCCATAGTTCTACCTAGAAACGGAATGGTAGAGAGAAGCCAAGCCTCAAAGGATTTCAAACCAATACTTAAAATCCATCATTTGAATTAGCATTTTGGCTTGGTGACCTTAAAGCCTTACTAAGTAAAGGATGTTAATGAATGAGGTGAGTCCTGCTATAAAATGATCTGGAGCTGATTTTGAGAAGAGAACTTGCACTGGGCAGCTATAAAGCATTTCCTATTTCTGTGAGTCTTTCGTAAACCTAGATTTTAACAGTGATGATCAAAAATCCTAAAGTACTCAATAGGTATTTGGAAGCAGTTAACTTTAATGAATAGGAAAAGGAGTGACAAAATTGCAGAGAAGTACAGTAAGTTAGCAATGGAATCCTAAATGAATCTCTGAGGAAATCTTACCATTTTCATTAACTGCGAAAGTGTTACGGCTTACTATTGGAAAGATGGATGTGAGGGAAACTGGAATTTGTCAGTGACCAGGTTTTTATGTATCAACACTTCTTTGTCTGTGTTCTTTCGTAGTACTATCTAGGAGCCTACGTTTTTATTGTCTTCACCGGCTTCCTCGTGATCTTCTTGGTCTTCACCTTCTTCAAAGTCCCTGAGACACGTGGCAGGACTTTTGAGGAAATTACACGAGGCTTTGAAGGGCAGGCGCAGGGGGCTAACAGAGCTGAGAAAGGCCCCATTGTGGAGATGAACAGCATGCAGCCCGATAAGGAGGCCACCACCAATGTCTAAGCTCTGCTTCCTTCCCACCTCCCTCCCAACATGAAAAAGCAACCTCTCCCCAAACGGGGGAGAGACCTCATCAGGTTGTAACCCAGGACTGTTTCTGAATGCTGCTACTTGAGTCTTTTGTCAGCCCACACTCCATGAGCACTCAGAGGAAACCAGTGTAAGGGTTAGTTGTATCTTCAATGGCTTTCTAAACATTTCATTTCTTGGACATTCTCTTCTGTTTCGGAGAGACCGAGTGAACCTACCTTCATTTCAGGAGGGACTGGCTACTTGGCATTTGACAACTTTGCCAGCTCTTTCTCCCTTACGTTCTAATATTGCTTCATGCAGGCATGTAGGGAAAAAGAGTTCCTCCAACCTCAGACTCACCAGGAGACAGATGCACATGAGAGTGTGGAAGGCAGAGGGTTTACATAAGCGCACCTGCCTCACTTCCATACAGTGCTGCAGAGCAAACTAATTTGAGTTTTATTTATTTTATCTTCTGGTTTTCTTGCATAAATATTTATTTTTTTAAGTGTAATTTTACCAAATAATGAAAACATAAGGAAATAGAGGTTAGAGGGAGGTGTTTAAAGAGTTTGCGGGGTGGAGGATTTGATACTGGAGAGGTTATAGTTTAATAAGAGAAGAATTTAGGCAGAAATCTGATGTGTTATTGGAGGGTATCTGATGTGGTGTGTGAGGTTTGCACGTTGCCTCTTAACAATTTCTGTCCTTCAGATGGAAAGTCTCAAGTTCAATTTCTCAGAAAGACATGTGCCTGTATAAAGAAGCTACTGGTTCCTTTTGAACTTTATTCTTTGTTTAAGATTATACATAGTATTACTTGAAATCTAGCATTATTACTAAGATGGGCATTGTAGTTAATGGTGGTTGATGGGTTCTGATTTTGGATGGAGTCCCGAGAAGGGAGGGTTGTTTGTAGAAATCAATCCTCCTCTCCCCTCACTGGAGCAAACAACTTTCTCCCTCTTATGGTGGACTCACTTTTTTTTTTTTTTTTTTTTTAAGTGCTCCCATCTTGTGGGAGAGCAACCTAAAATATTGGTTCTTGGTAAAGGATTTTTTTTTTCCCACTTTGTTTTTTAGGAGATTTTAGAGGTTTAGTTTCTTTTTTGTTTTTGTTTTAAGCCATAGCTTTAAAAGAATTCATAGGTGCGTGTTCATAGCTAACTTGGAGTTTGAAGCCTCAGCCCTGGGAGAGGATTTTTCCTGAATGATTATTACCTAGTTGAAGTGTGTTACCGCTTTAGGGTCAGCCCATGCTTGTTTATGTCTGTTACCATGTCAAGTTACTCTTGTTACCATGTCACCATAGTATTATGTCAAGTTCCTACGAGCACGTGAATCTTTCCCATAGACTACATTTGAGATAGACTGAGTAAATGTGCAGTGTAGCCCACACTTGAGAGAGTATGAATGTATGTGCACTGTCACTTTGCTCTGGGTGGAAGTAGTTTACTGGTAACTTGTTACCTCTGTTCCTACAGCCCCCTTTTGGATGGAATGTGTTAAAACTCAGCCCAAGGTATATGAGTAACACTTCCTCTGCTGGGTGGCATTTTGCATCTCTGGCTTATTCCTAACACGTAGAGGACTCTGCCTCGCTCTAGACTCAGATAATGGAAGTAGGAGAGTGTGGGGTCAGGACGTGTGGCCTGTTAGGGGAGCTAAAGGGAAGTCATGGGGGAGAGGGAGGCGTTCTTTTCCAGGGGATAAGAGACACACTGAAGACTTGTCAATCCGGAAAGTTTCAGAGCGTTAGATTAGATGGCGATATTTACACCTGCCATAGGTCACGGACACCGCCACAATCGAGTTTCCCAGTATTTTTATAAATGGAGATAGGGCCCCAGTGATACCCTGTCCTCCCTTTTTCATATGTTGCTTGATCTCCCTTTCCTTCCTTGGTGCTTATACCTTTCAGGCCCTTTAGCCAAATCCTTGCCTATGACAATATTTTAGCTCTCAGTTCTTGCCATTCCCTCTGGTCATTGAGCCTTTGGATAAAAACTCAGAGCTATGGTGTGGGGCTTTGCTGGGACAGGTGACTCCTCCCACCGCACCTCCACTTTCGGCTCCTCAAACTGTGGTTTGGCAGTAACGCTGTGTGGAAGTTTTCCCATTTTTTAGTGACCAGATTGTGAATATCTCCAAATATGTTTTATATTATTGTTACTGTGGTTTTTTGTTTTGAAATAAAAATTCTGAATGTACATTATGACATCACAGGCTTGGTTTTTGTTTTGTTTTTGTCCTTTCTCTAACAACAAAATCCCCTTGACATCCTGGCGTTAGGCATTCTCTACCTATTCTCTTTCTCCCCACTTTTTCCTGCTTTCCCACCTCGACCCAACCCTGGCCTCTCCTTCCCTCAGGCCATCACCACACTGTTGTCTGGCCATGCATTATGCATATATGTTCTTTGACTAATCCCTTCGCTTTCTCTCATCCGATGCACCCCTCCCTTCTGATAGCTGTCAGTCTATGTATCCATGCCTCTGCTTCTATTTTGTTTGCCAATTTATTTTGTTCATTAGATTCCACACGTAAGTGAGATCATATGTTATTAGCGTTTCTTGGACTGGCCTATTTCACTTAGCATAATAATCTCCAGGCCTATCCACACTGTTGCAAAAGGTAACAGTACCTTTTTTACTTCTGCATAGTATCCCATTGTGTAAATGTACCACAGCTTTTTTATTCACTCACATACTGATGGGCAATTGGGCTGTTTTCAATTTTTTGAGGAAATTCCATATTGTTTTCCACAGTGGCTGCACCAGTCTTCATTCCCACCAACAATGCACTAGTTTTCCCTTTTCTCCACATCCTCTCCAGCACTTGTTGTTTGTTGATTTAATAATAGTAACCACTCTGACAGGTATGTGAGTAAACTTCTCATAAGACAGTCTCAGACATATGGAAATAGCAACTCTTATTTGGTATGCAGATGAAATGAAAACATCTTAGTACATTGCTTTGCATAGTTAACAAATTATGTTGCTTTCTTTCCCCAGTGAGAATTCTTCTGTTTTTTTTCATATACACTTTCCTACTTTGTTTCTCCTTTAGTCTTTGATCATTAAAAATTAATCCTACATTAATATATCTGAGCATTCATATCGTGTATATGAGTGCTATCCTACTTAAATTTCTCAATAGCTTCCAATCAGCTACAGAAAAATAATTTAAGCCCCCTAGTGGGCACGACCACTCCAGGGCAAGGTCTTGCTGCCTTTTAGTATGATTTATCATTTCTCAGCTCCCCTTTATATGGGAAAACACCTCACAGCCACTCCAACACAATTAATGCCTCCATACCTTCATTTATGTAGTCCAGACACCACCTTCCCTGTTTCCATTCACTTACTAAAGATATGAGAATGGTTTCTTTTCTTCCTTTCTTTCTTCCTTTCTTCCTTCCTTTCTTTGTTTCTTCCTTCCTTTTCTTCTTTCTTTCTTCCTTTGTTTCTTCCTTTCCTCCTTCCTTCCTTTGTTTCTTCCTTTCCTTCTTTCTTCCTTCCTTTCTTCCTTTCTTCCTTCCTTTCTTTGTTTCTTCCTTTCCTCCTTCCTTCCTTCCTTCCTTCCTTCCTTCCTTCCTTCCTTCCTTCCTTCCTTCCTTCCTTCCTTCCTTCCTTCCTTCCTTCCTTCCTTCCTTCCTTCCTTTCTTTCTTTCTTGATTTTAGAGCAAGAGAGAGAACACATCGATTTGTTGTTCCATTTATTCATTTTTCGGTTTCTTGTATGTGCCCTGATGGGGGATGGAACCCGCAATTTTGGTGTATCAGCATTATTGTCTAACCAACTGAGCTACCCATCCAGAGCCTGAATGGCTATATTTTATTTCCTCTCAGCCTAAGCATGCACTCCATACAGCCTTCCTTACCCCCAGCGTAATCCTTACCAGGGTTGTCCAAAGTTTTGGCATCTCTGGGCCACACTGGAGGAACAAGAGTTGCCTTGGGCCACTCATTAAATACACAAACACAAAAACTGATGAGCAGAAAAAAGGTCCATGCGTAATTTTCACGATATCCAGCACCACAGATATGCAAAAAAGTCTTGCTCACTGAAGTCTAGCCCCACTGGTCTTTCTAGTTCTCCCATCCAAGTGCTAACCAGGCCCCACTCTGCTTAACTTTAAAGATCAGACAAAATTGGGCCCATTCAGGGTGGTATGGCCGTAGACATCTTTCTAGTTCTCATACATATGAAGTTCATTATCACTTACGGTTTTTATACTTGTCCCTTTGTGCTTAGAATATTCTGCCTCAAAATTTTGTATGGCTTAGTCTATCTTGTGAGTTAGGTCTTAGTTAACAACCTCTACAGAATGTAAGCGCCATAGAATCCTGTACTTTGTCTGCTTTGTTCATACCTAGAACACTGCCTGACATTTAACTGATGTTTATTAAGTGTATCAGTCTGGCTCTTATCTGAAGACAGAGACCACACATTGATTTAAACCGAGAATGTTTAATATAAAGACTATCAAGCTATAAAAAGGGAAAGTAAATTATAAAGCATATAAGAAAACTCAATATAGCATCCAAGAGCTGAGGAGAGTATCCAAGTAAGAACAAAGTTGGAAGGGAGGCCACCTCCCCAGAGCAGAGGTTCAGATCTTATTTGAAAAGGCATAGTTGCAGTCCACTAGATAGCAGAGGAATTGGCTGGATTGCATCAGCCGAGCTGGTGAGCATTCCCGAAGCAAGAGGAAGACGCCTCTTCAGGTGAGCCACAGCCGGGAGTCAAACAAGGGAGTCAAAGCCTCAATAGGGGTGGGAGGCATGGGGCCTTGGAGGGAGAGATTGCCAGACCTAGGCTGGGGCTGTGGGAGGTGTCTGCGGGAGCTTGCATTCTGTGTCCACAGCCGGGGCAGGGCACCGCCGAAAGTTGTCACCTTTCCCTGTGGTGTAACTACTGAAACCAACAGGAGAAGGCCTCTTCCTCCTGCGCGGTTCAGCACTATCCACTGAGAAAATTTCAATGTGCTTAACATTCTAAAGAAGAAATGACTTAAAGGAATCATATCCATTACCACCAAGCAGGTAATGAAGGATAAATTGGAAGCTGAGAGGCAATAGATAACTGGCACAATAATTGTTAGATGGCTGGCTGGGGAAAGTGGCCCTCGGTTGAAAGGCATTCCTCCTTCCACAGTTCTCAAAGCCACCCGCACTTGAAATTAAATTCCAGTTGAACCGTGTCCCCCCCCTCCCCCCGCCCCTTTTTTTAACCTAAAGTGTTTGCTTTGGAAATTTGGCCAAAGTTCCAACTGGGTGGCTCCGGCTGAGGTTGGGCCAACGGGTCTTCCCAGAGCTAGCTAGGTGAGACCTGGCAAAGGCAAAGGGGCAGCCTCATCTTTTGCACATCAGAGCTGCGCGATGACATTGGGGTTGTGGACCAGGCTGCAGGTGACGCTTGAGCCCGCTAGCTCTGGCTCTGCAGGTTGGTGGTCCTAACACACCGTCCCCTGTCACCATGGAGATCCTCTTGGGTGCCGATTTCCAAAATGTGCCACCAATTAATCATCTAGCAACATATCTGTGTCCTTGATCTGGGCCATGGTTGCAGCGGCGCCGCTAAGTACGAGTCCGAGTCCTGCCTGGCGGGTCGCCGCGTTGCTCCCTGCAGTATCGCGGTCCCAGACTCAGCGCAGCCGCCTGCCAGCACGGAGCGTGCTCAGTCCCGCCAGACCAGGCGTGGCCCTGAGGCCGCGACCGCCCAACCTCCCAAGCCAGGCGGTGGTGGGAGACCGTGCCTGGCTCGGGATGCAACCGTCAGACCCTGGCAGCAGCGGGGCTTGGTGAAGTTGGGTGTCCCGCAAGCCGCCCACACTGCGCAGGCTTGAGTGGTGGAAGCCCCTGTCATCCGGTTTTATTCAATATAAATTGTTTCTGGCTCTAACCCAGGATATGTTTGGAACCCAGCAAACTTTCATTTGCAGGATTTCCCTGCCTTTCTTATTC